CACACTCTTCCCTCCTTCCTGCCATAGTCGGTGTTATCGCCCTTTCATTTCCATCGATCCGACGGCAGAAAGTGATAGCCCTTTGTTACTTTCTCTGTATTTCCTCGTCTCCGGGTAAGCTCGAACATCTTCTAATGCTCCTTGGTCATTTGGATTTGTGCTTCTGTGTATGGTCTGTTCTTATTACCCTCTGCCCATTTTAATTGGATCGTTTGCCTTTTTGTTATCAGTTTGTAAGATATTAAACCTTTGGGAGCACCTGGTTAGCAGTTTACCTAATCTGGTTCTTCATCCCCCTAGGAGCTGCCAGACCACACATGCTGCCTCCCTTGGGCTCAGGACAGCCACAGGCTGAGTTCTGCACAACGGATGGGTGGAAGTGGGGAAGACTAGTTCCAGGTCAGTAGTTTATGGAAGACTGCCCACTTGGGAGCCTCCCTACTAATTCCACTTCCCTAACAACCCTGGAAGTCATGTGTTAAAGACCATAAGCGCATAATATGGGAGAAGCCTGGGTTCCTAAATGTCTGCCTGGAGGAGAGCTGCCTGCCAGGATCCCTGTCGGGATCATCCAGCATTTGCTTGGTGAGAGTGAGAAATTCATTTCTATTGTGTTAGCCCATAGCACGTGGTGGGTTTATATGTACAGTAGTTAGAGCTGCCCCGACCAACACGCCCACCACCTGCCGTAGGTGTTATGGCTGTCCCCCAAACTATCATTTGTGTATCGACTTCACTTGCAGTAAAATTTAAGTTATAAAATGTTTATATTTGGTTCTGCTGCTGTGGCACAGCAGTAGTACAAGTGCCCTGAAGGGTGGAAGCCATATGCCAACCACGGGTTCAGCTCTCCAGGTCAGCCAGAAACATGCCAGGTGTAAACATGCTGACACCAAAGATCCTGAGGAGCCAAAGGACTGAGGAGAGAGGATTGCAGTGTGTCAACGGTCAAGAGGGCTTCTCTCTCTCATGTGCACATTAAGGACGCACTCTATCATTTAAAAAAGTTTCCATTTTCTTGTACTTCTACTTTTTTATAGCCTTTATACTTTCTCTCTTAAATGATTGCTTAGAGCTTTTTATAAGTATAGATTCTAAGATCCGACCGATAAAATTCTGCCGTCAGCAATCCGTAGTGAAGCCAGGAAATCTAGATTTTTATAAAGCTCCCGGATCATCTGCTGCATCCACAGAACTGGAGAATGTTGCTTAGACCATCAAGGTGGCAGCCCCCGCCCAGCGGAAGTAACTCTGGGGGTCGTGACCAGCCTTCTCACCCATTGGTACCTCTGAGAATAATCTTACCTGTTTTCGCAAGCAGATTTCTAGAAGCATCTGAAAAGAGCCTACCTGAACCTGTGTGTTAGCATCATTGTGGGGAGGTCCTGGGTTCAAATCTAGCTTCTTCCATTTTCTACAGTGTGCACTTGGGCAAGCAAACTAACATTTCTGGGCCTTCCTTCTTTTTTATACAAAGGGAAGAATGGTGATGATAATTCCCACACTGTGATAGGAATGCCTACTTAACTTTAAGGGTCAAGGCAAAGATGAAGATATAGATAAAAATATTCAATCCTAAACCTGGTGCATGGAAGCAACCCAATAAATTATTACAAACGCTCAATTATGCAACCTTGTACAAGGAGATTTCAAAAAGTTCTTAATAAACTGGAACTAACAAGCCTGTGAGGGTCCCAGTGGCTAAGGAAACTGTGTAGTGAGAGTCCCAGATCCTGAGGCTTACAAAACACGCCAGGTACATGGGCACGCCCAAAATCCCAGCCGGATGGAGAAACAGAGGAGAAGGGGTTGTGATATGACCACGCTCCACTGGAGGATGCTTTCTCATTCTCTCTCTCTCTCTCTTTGGCAATCGTATCCACCCTCTGGCAATTCAAAAAAGGAGAAGAAATAAAGAAAAGGGAAAACATGGAATAAAAACAAGGCGATTTGAGTGCCAAAAAAAAATTGTGTGGTTTTTTATAATATTCATTTTTGTGAACTTAGAAAACTCTTCATATTTTTTTAGAGGTTTTTGCTATAGGGCGCGTGCGCTCACCAGACAGACAGAGAGAGACAGAGAGACAGAAAGCAAGAAATCACTCCCCAGGGGGGGATGGCCATGCCGTAATCCCTTCTCCTCCATTCTCCTCTCGCAATCTTGGGCACGCACGCACACATGCCCGGCGTGAGTTTTAAGCCACCAGGTCTGGGACGCAAACTGCAGTCGACTACATGGTAGTCCAGCGACATAGCCATTACGCTAACTGCTGGTCCCAACTCTTCATATTATTTAACCATAGATAGATAGATTTAAAGACCAATTTTATAAGCACAGGAAAATTCCAGAACTTATGTGACTTTCTCAAAGCTTAATTCTGTGTGCATTGTATTAGCACATTTGTGTATGGGGGGAGGTGGCATGTTGGCATATTTGTTATATGTGTGTGAGGTATGATGAATTGGCATACTTGTATATTTGTGTAAAAAATCCCCATGTTACATGTTAAGACTATGAGGTCCTCAGAAAAGTTTTGGATATTGTGACAATGACAACTGCTCAGGGGGTCTCAACTTATCGACAACCAAAACAAACAAACAAACAAACAAACAAAAACTGCCAACGTTAATTTAAGGAACTCATATTTATACTATCTTTTTCTTTTTTGGAGAGATTTTTGCTATAGGGCGTGTGCAGTCACCAGACAGACAGACAGGAAGCGAGAAATCATCCCCCAGAGGGGATGGCCATGCCACAATCCCTTCTCCTCCATTCTCCTCTCGGGATCTTGGGCACGCACGCACATGCGCCAGGCATGAGTTTTAAGCCACCGGGTCCGGACGCGAACCGCGGTCGACTACGTGGGAGTCCAGCGACATAGCCATTACGCTATCTTTTTTTTTTTTTTTTTTAATGATAGTGTGTGTGTGTATCCATGATAGAGAAAGACAGTGTGAGAGAGAGAAAGAAGCACCCTGGAGAAAGTCTCTTCACACTGATTCCCTTTCCCCAGCTCTCCAGCTCCTCAGGATGTTGGGTGCCTGTTCGAACACCCACTGTGTTTTCAGGCTGACCGAGGGATCTGAACCAGGTACAGCTATGTGGCCTCCAGCACTGCAGTCCCATAAGCTACACACTATGCCTTCTGACGGGACCTAGGGAACTCAGATTTACTGAGGGCTGGTCTGTGCCAGACACAGTGTTAAACTTGTCATTTACTCTCTTTTTCAATCCTTAAGTCATTCTATGTAATTGTGTGCTCTGCTCCCACCTGCAAGATAAGGAAATTGAGGCTCGAAGAGGCCGTGTTGCCTGTGGTTGCATAACTATGAAAGGGTAGATCAGAAATTGCATCCAGATACAGAGTTCTTTGGGGGATGGTGAAAACGTTCTAAAATTAGGTTACAGTAATGTTTGTGCAACTCTGTGAATATATGAAGTCACTGAATTGTACACTCTAACCAGGCAAACTTGATGTATGTAAGATAGCAATAAAGCTGTTTTTTAAAAATGTACAGCCAGGTCTACCTGACTCTGAAACTAGATTTGTATAAAATGCCTTCTGGTTTTAAAAGTGCTTATATGTGCATCCCTCATTGATATTCCACCTCCAACCCCCAACTCCCCCAACCACACACACACCCCAACCCCTGCATCTTCCCACCATCCCCTATAGCTGTGTAGACCTTGAAGCCCTAATGGGAGAGGGGAGATGGGTAAACAAAGCTGAAACCTCTTATATGGACTCTTAGGCCAGGTGGCCACCAAAACCACAGGGGCCAGAGGTGGGTCTTAGTCAGGAATCGGATCAGAATGTGTGGGAGCCAGTGCCCTTTCTAACTCACCAAAGCTTCAGCAAACCTCCTCAGCCTTTTAAATGCACATGCCAGGTACCAGGAGGTGGTGTGCTGGTTAAGGCACTAGACACTCCCACATGGCCAACCAAGTCTGGGTGGCTTACTTTCTCTCTTCTCTCTCTCCCTCTCTTTTTCTTTCTCTCTCTCTGATCAAATTAAAATAAATGAATGAAGAAAGAAAATTAAGTAAGTAATTCTTAAAAAAAAACAAAACTCTAGATCAACATATCCTATTAAAAAATCAAAATTAAGTAAAATGCACATGCCTACACTTACCTAAAATCCTCAGAGGAGAATAAAGGAGAAGGGATGGTGGCATGGCCACCTCCCCAGAAGTGCTTTCTCACTTTCCCTGTCCCTGTCTCTCTCTGACACTCTACAGCCAGTTCATGCACCCTGTAGCAAGTTTGTCTGTTTGTTTGTTTGAAGAAACAAAATGAATTTAAGAGAAAGGAATAATTATTGAAGATCCTAAAGAAGACTCAACAAATTGCTAAAAGAAGCCACTGAAGGGGACCAGCAGATGGCAGAATGGTTATGTTGCTAGACTCCTACGTAGTCAACTGTGTTTCAAGACCTGGACCCAGTGGCTTAAAATTCATGCCAGATGTGTGCATGTGTACCCAAAATACTGAGAGAAGAATGGAGGAGAAGAGATTGCAGCATGACCATCCCTCCTGGGGAGGTGATTTATCACTTTCTGTCTCTCTGTCTCTCTTAGTCTCTCCAGTGAGTGCAAGGGCACTATAGTAAAAATCTCTCTTTAAAAAAAAAAACAGTGCACTATAGTAAAAATCTCTCTTTTAAAAAAAAAAAAAATCTCTCTTAAAAAAAAGAAGTCACTGAAGAAAACTAAAGCAAGGTAAAACAATAAATGCTAAAAACTATAATTCAAAATATTTGTTCTAAAACTAAAATAAATACTGAAGCTACATATTTAAGAAAGTATGTTATCCACATTAGAATAATTAGAATACAGGCCTAGAATGGCCAACACCAAGACATAACATAGTAAAATGTCAAAACTCTGAAGAAAGAAAGGAAAAAAGAATGATTTAGTACCTAAGCAAGAGGAAAAAGTGACTTATAAGGGAAAGAAACTCCAACTACTATCAATCTTTTCAACAAAATTTTATTCTAGAAGAAGATAGCATATATTTGTAACTTTTCTGCAAGTCTAAAACTATTCTAAAATAAAATTATGCTAAAAATAATTTTTAACTCTGTCTTGGGAGTGCCATCAGGTGGCATAGTGGTTAAGATGCTGGACTCCCACATGGCCAGCCACAGTTCAAGTCCTGGACCCCACAGCTTGAAACTCAGGCTGTGCATATGTGCATGTGTGCCCAAAATCCCAGAAGAAGAATGGAGGAGAAGGGATTGTGGCATGGCCATCCCCCTGGGTGGGGTGATTTCTCACTTTCCCTCTCACTGTCACTCTCTGACCAACACATGTACCCTATGGCAAAAGCCTTAAAAAGAAAAAAGAAGCCTATCTTAAATTTGAACTAGAAATGCCAAATGAAATGAGGTATTTTGTC